AAACCTAGCCTCAATCACTCTCTAGCTGTGTGACCCTGGGCAAGTCACTTAACCTTGTTTGCCTCAGTTCTACTCATCTGTAAAATGAACTAGAGAAGAAAATGGCAAAGTACTCCAGTATCTCTTCCAAGAAAATGCCAAATGGGGTCATGAAGAGTTAGACACAACTGGGAAAAAAAAAAAAACCTGAACAACAGATAAGGGATAATGAAGAGCCTTGAGTCCATGTCGTATGAGAATTGGTTGACAGACCAACAGGTGTAGACTGAAGAAGGGCAGATTTGGGATGGGAGCCAGAGCAAAGGTGAAAACTGTCTTCTAGTATTTGAAGGTCTGTAACGCATTGAGAGGGAGTGTGGCAAACTAGGTAAAGAACTGACCTCCAGGAAGGCACGGATTCAAATTCCACCTCTAAACCCCTGGCTTTGTGACCCCACGGAAGTCCCCCAACTTCTCAGTCTCCTCAGGCAAATCTCCAAAAGTGTACTTTGCAGAGGAGGTGCGGGCCCACCTTCCTAGAGGGTGTTTTCTCACCAGGGAATTCCCCATACAAACGACATCACAGGTCTGGTCTTTATCCTTCCTCCCTATCTCATGGGGAAGACAGATTTGACTTATTTAGCCAGTTTCTGGGACCAGAAGGCAAAATTCTAACCACTGGATGAAGTAGCAAAGAAACACCTTTTAATTTGATGTAAGGAACAGCTCCCACGCATCCTGCCCCACCTCAGCTCCAAAATAAAGTCTGCTTTTCAGATTAAATTAATCTGTCTGAACTTTGCGTGGCTTTGAACAAGACACATCTTTGGCCTCAGTTCTCTCATCCATTCTACTCAACTTTCTCTCATCCATTCTACTCAACGGTCTCTCATCCATTCTACTCAACGTTCTCTCATCCATTCTACTCAACGTTCTCTCATCCATTCTACTCAACGTTCTCTCAGTTTTCTTCCAGTTCTGACATGTTATGATTCTAGTTTGATAAGAGACCACTAGCGGCTACCCTTCAGATGTGTCAAACGTCCCTACAGGCAAACCCCCAAAGCCAAAATCAGCCGCTTTGACAGAAGGGGGAAAAAATCTCTGTTCATCTCTTGCTGTTAGATAAAATGTTCTTCTTGTCCTTCCCCCAGTCCTCCAGCTTTGCTTTGCATCAGCAGTCCCCAGCTCTGGTTATCCATCACCCTGGGGCCTCTTCAGTGACCACAAGTGGCCTCCCCCATCTGCCCTGCCCCCCCAAAAGAGCTGATTTTGCTTTAAAATAAATAAATGGGGGCAGCTAGGTGGCGCAGTGTATACCTGAGTTCAAATCCGACCTCAGACCAAACACTTGACACGTACTAGCTGTGTGACCTTGGGCAAGTCACTTAACCCCAATTGCCTCACCAAAAATAAATAAATAAATAAATAAATGCCACAAAGGACTTTTAGGAGAATGGGGAAAGGAGGTCAAAAGACAGGGTGCCCCATTTCCAGAAGGATATAGTTCAGTTAAGTATTTCTTCAGCGCCTGCCGTGTGCAAAGTACCATGACAGGCCCTGGAGATACAAAGTCAAAGCAAAACAGTTGTTCCTATTCTCAGGGATGTGACTTTTTAAGCAGATAAACTTCAGGAGAGAAAGAGTGCAACCAATTAGGGAGACCATAAATAACAATAATAATAATAATAATAATAATAATAAGAGCATTTATATAGCACTTTAAGTTTTACAAAGTACTATACCTATGTTATCTCACTTGATCCTCACAACAACCCTAAAACATCGGTGCTATTATTATTCCCGTTTTGTAGATGAGGAAACTGAGGCAGAGGTTAAGTGACTTGCCCTGGGTGATACAGCTAGTTAAGTGACTGATGCAGGATTTGAATGCAGGTCTTTCTGACTCCAGACCCATACCCTGTACCACCTAGGTGCCTATTTAGACAAGCAATCAAAGAAATTAAGTGTTTTTATAAGAGGCAGTGTGTGAGTTTAGCCCTGGAGGATACCAGAGATTCTGAAAGGTGGCGAAGAAAATGGAATGTCTTCTAGACGTGCAGGATAAGCCTGTTTTTAAAGGCATTTAGTTTTTACATGTTTGTCTATGTATAAACTGTATAGGATTAATTGTCATCTTGAGGAGGGAGAGAGGGATAGAATTTGGAACTCAAAACTTTTTTTTAAATTTTTAAAAATTATTTTAACATGTAATTGTGGAAAAAATAAAACTTTTTTTTTTTTT